ATCCTCACTCACTATTACATCCCTGCTAACACAAGTCTTCTTTGTAGTGGGATTGTACAACTTGTAACCACCAGTTGGATGGTAGCCAATCATGATCATCAGTTCACTCTTGTCATGTAACTTTCTTCTTCTCTCATCAGGGACATGCATATGACAGATTGATCCAAAAACCTTCAAGTGAGCTATGCTAGGCTTCCTACCAAACCAAACTTCATCTGGCACTTTGTCAACCAACCTTTTAGTTGGACATTTGTTTAGGAGATAAGCAGCAGCAGCAACTGCTTCTCCCCAAAACTCATTTGGCAGGTTCTTCTGTTTCAGCATGCATCTAGCCATATCTAGTATGGTTCTATTTCTTCTCTCAGCAAAACCATTATGCTGAGGTGTGTAGGGAGGTGTGACCTCATGCTTGATACCTTCTTTCACACAATACTGTTCAAATTCAGTGGAAGTGTACTCTCCACCTCCATCAGTTCTTAGGAACTTGATTAGCTTCGCACTTTGCCTCTCCGCCAAAGCCTTGAACTGTTTGAACATCTCAAAAACTTCACTTTTCAGCTTGATCAAGTAGATCCAGATCATACCACTGTACTCATCTATGAAAGTACAAAAGTATTTATTGTCACAGAGGGAACCTCAAATGGTCCACACACATCAGAATATATCACATGCAGTACATCTGTTGATCTAGCACTCACAGCAGTTTTAAACGACTTTCTAGGTTGCTTACCTCGAAGACAACCCTCACAGATCTTCTCAGGTATCCTGACTGAAGGTAACCCAATCACCATGGATTTATCAACCAGTAGCTTCAAACTTCTGAAGTTTAGATGCCCAAGTCTCCTATGCCATAACCAGTCTATTGAATCATCAACTGTAACTGTTAGACATTTAGTATTTCTATCAATCAAACTGACTTGAAAGGTCCTATTTTTCCTGATAGGTGTCCTTAGAATCAATCTGCCATGAGGATCAATCAGCTCCATCTTCAGGTCTTTCATCACAATCTGAAACTTCTTTTCGAGCAGTTGACCTAAACTCATTAGGTTGCAATCCACCTGAGGTACCAGCATAACTTCTTCAATTAGTGCTGATCTACCATCTTCTTTCTTGATCATTATGTTCCCCATCCCTTCAGAGGTAACATAGCTGCCATTAGCACATCTGACATCACTTTTCACTGAAGTGTCTAAATCACAAAGCCATTCTTCATGACAGGTCATGTGATTAGAGCACCCAAAATCCAAATACCAAGTATCACTCCTTTGACTAGACTCAGTTTTAGGCTTAATTGAACTAGTTGTCATCATCAACAAGACTGGTGCCTCTTCTGTTTCTTCCTCTTGAGCTAGATGTGCAGTGTCTTCCTTCCTTTTCTTCAGTTTACCCTTAGCAAACCAACACTCAGCTGCCATATGCCCAAACTTCTCACAATTCCAACACTGTATCTTTCTTTTGTCTCCATCAAACTTCTTTCCTTTGTTCTGAGCAAAGTTCTTATTTTCTGACTTCTCACTAGTTTCACCTTGATCTTTCTTGTTTGCCCAACCTTGTTGACCAAATTTTCCTTTTCCCTTCTGCTTCTTTTTTGAGTCAAATCCAGCACCTTTCTGGGTAGATGCAACAAGCAAAACTTGATCAGCAGCTCTCTCAGAACTCCTTTCATTCAACCTGATTTCGTGTGCCTCAAGAGAACTCTGCAATTCCTCAAGGCTCATACTCTCCAGGTCCTTAGATTCTTCAATAGCAACAACAATATGGTCAAATTTAGAAGAAAGGGTTCTAAGTACCTTCTCAACCAGATTTTGGTCTTTCAAGGTTTCTCCACAAGCTTTCATTTGATTGGTGAGGGCAACAAGTCTAGCAAAGAATTCAGAAACCTTCTCATTACTCTCCATCTGCAGTAACTCATACTGCCTCCTCAGAGATTGAAGCCTTACCTTCTTGATTTTATCATCACCAGCATAACTCTTTTCAAGAACATCCCAGGCTTCCTTTGCCGAAGATGCTGAAGCAATCTTGTCAAAATTTTCATCATTGACACACTGGTGAATCAAATAAAGTGCCTTGTAATCACGCTTCTTCAATTCTTTGAACTAAGCCTTTGTTGCATCAGTGGATGTTTCTCCAGGTTCTTGCAACCCATTCTTCACTATGTCCATGACATCCTGGAAGCCAAACAAAACTTTCATCTGGGTGCACCACCTCGACCAGTTCTTTCCATCGAGAATTGGCAAATTTCCTGGAAATCCTCCATTACCATTCGCTCCAACCATGATTGCGAATCTCTGATTGCAAGCTTCGATCACACACGATTTCAATCTTCCCCTTTTTCACGCAGCGGAATTCACAATCAGAACTGTGCTCTTGATGCCAATTTGTTGGATCAGAGTCTTCAATTTAGGGATTTGATAGAAAGAAATTGAAAGAGAATCAGGGAATAGAGAGGGAAATCAGAGAAAGAATGATTCTCATTGATTAAGGAACTAATTCTGTTACAAAGGGTTTTATTACCCCAAAATAGCAACACTAACTAAGTTTGTTAGTGAACTTGCTTCCCAAAACAGTAAAACAACTAAACAGCAACTAACCACAGTTAAAGACTCTAACCATAGTAAAAACTATTGATTTGGAATTACTCTTCAATATTTCTAAGTATCCATGCTTCTTTGAGTATATATATATATATATATATATATATATATACAATAATGCATTCTATAAAATAATATTACATGTGCATAAATTCATCGTATGCTCGTATAATCTCACTTCCATGCATGTTTCACAGTTAAATACGTTTCGTTTTCTATACACCTATAGATTATGATTCTATCACTTAACTTAGGTGCGAGTAAATGTGGATATATACATGTGATGTGAAACAATGTTTCTGTTCATGAGTATGCCACTAATAATAGACCCAAGGAGTTTATAGAACATACTGAAAATGTCTTGGACATTTCTTGTAGATATTATTTTGAGCTTTGTAAAATGCCTAGCTGGATAGTTAATGTAAATGAAATTTAAATCTTTTCATGTTGGGTAATATAATGTAATTATATTGATAAATAAATATATCTATTTATGGGAGTAATAGATGAGTTTATTATTAATATAAAATTCACAATAAATAAAAGAAAAGAAACAATTCAACAATAGAATAATTAAAAAATGGTAATAATTATTTTATATAAATAAGAAATAGAAGAAATATTAATAAAGAAAGCTTACTTATATCCAACAGTAAACTGTAAAGATTTTTACACCCGGTGTTTAAATAAAAAATTTCTTTCTTTTATTTTTTGAACAGATAAAAATATTTTTTTATCACTAAATAATACAAGGCGTAACAATGTTTCGTTGAAATATGAAATATGTGCAATTACTATTAAAATGTTTTTCTACCCACTAAATTACTTTTAAAATATTTTTAAAACTTAAAAATCCAAATATAAATTATTTTACATTTTGATTTATTTTTAATTAGTAAGTTTTTTATTAAAGGTAAAATTTTTAGTTTAGATTAGAAAGTGTAAATGCAATTTTAAATAAAATTATATAAAATTTATTATTATTAAATAATAATAAAACTTATCAATAGAGAAAAAAATATATTTTATTAATAAAAATTAGTTTTAATGACAAGCGATTCAATATTACTTAATTAAAGTTTTAGATTTAAGTCTTTATGTATGTAAAAAATTTCTAATAATAAATTTATCTACAATATTTAAGTGTGCAATTTGAGTCGGATCTAGATTAAATTAAATGAAAAAATATATATTTATAATTAAAATAAATAATTTTATTTATCAATTAATAAAATACGACAGAGTTAAAACATAATTACTTATTTTAAAATATATTGGTTGGAACTTGATTATTATTTGTGTACGATAAAAAAATTATTAGAAGAAATAATTTTTGTTTTGATAAAAATAGTCTCCAACTATTAACTTAAAAATGTCTTTAAATCAAAATATTTAGTTTTATCATGTAAGAATAGGTTTAACAAGTTGGACTTTTAAAACTATCGAATTGAAATGCCTTGGACATTTATTATAGATATTATTTTGAGTTTTGTAAATTGTTTAGCTGGTTAGTTTAAAAGGGATTTAGTTTTTTTCTTATGCCGAATAATATAATATAATTAGTTATATTTAAATTTAAAACTGAAATTTTAATAAATAAAAACTACTTACCATAATTAGTTGAAAGATCTGTTAATTAATTATATATGTACAATTTTAAAAAATTATTAAATAAAAAATAGATTATGATTTAAATTATTTTTATTATAAAAATACGACATAAAATGTGCGTGTTAAGAGTTTATAAATAATCAATTTTTAACGAATAACTATGACTTAACCCAATACTTCTAATCTAGTTTAAATAAATTCTTTTATAAAAAATATTTTTTTTTATAAATTGAATTTTTTTTGCCTAGAAATGTATGTTGAAATAATCAATCGGGAATGAATCTCACACGTTTCAACCCCATGGCCAGTTTCATGGACCCGACAGGACTGGAGGAAAAAATAATTTTATTTTATCACAAGTTTGATAATAAATTAATAATATTTTTGGTTTTATTTATAATTTTTAGAAAATAAAATAAGTTTATAAAAAATATTATATTTTGTTAATTAAATGAATCCTCAAATATGATTTATTTTTAAAAATATATCAAATTTTAATTTTTTATATATTTTAAAATTATTATCTTATCTTTATTGATGTGAATTTAAAATCATAATAATATATGTATTATGTAAGGATATTTGAATTAGTCTGTCATCACTTAACAATAATTAAAAATTAAAATTAAAATTTTTTAAAATATAAAAGTGAAAATACTTTTATAAAACTGAAAATAAAATTTCATTTAATTAAAAGATTAGAAATATATTAAAACCCAAATAAATATAAAAGGTAAGATAAGATAATAAAGATATTTATTTTATCTTACCCATTAAACAAATTATTAAACAGATAACTCATTAGAAAAATTAAACATACAGTTCATCATCTATTTCAATCTTTGGATCTAAACTCGGAAGACAAACAGAGATAGAGAATGGACGCCATTGATTCTGTGTTCGATCCGCTCCGAGAATTCGCCAAGGACAGCGTTAGGCTCGTGAAACGCTGCCACAAACCCGATCGCAAAGGTGAGTGAAACCCTAATCCCTATTCTCCTCTCCATTCGGATTCAAATCTGTGCCGTCGATCTTCAATTTTCCCATGCACTCTGTGTTTCAGAATTCTCCAAGGTTGCCGTGCGTACCGCTATTGGTTTCGTTGTGATGGGATTCGTCGGTTTTTTCGTGAAGCTCATTTTCATCCCAATTAACAACATCATCGTCGGATCTGGTTAGGTAAATTTTATTATTTCACAAAAGAAAAATGTTAATTTTTTAAAACTATTTTTTCTCTATTCTTCGTTTTGGTTACTTGATCTCTATGGTCTCTATCTGCCCAAGTCAGATATTGCGAATTTTAAATTATTTTTTTTATTATAATGGATTATTCGGTTAACTGGTTGGGAAGAAATATTGTTTCTTTGTTAGCATTATTGTCCAGTTGTTGATTGAAACAATTTGATATGATGGTTTAATTGAAAGTGTTGAAGGGATTTAGTGAAACTGGAAAAGAAAAAAAAAAGAGTTGGTTGCTCTGTTTGGTTACATTTTATGGTGTATCAAGCATCATGAATTGGCTTGGTCGAGATTACTGTTCTATTGTTGATGGAAACGAAAGCTAGTTTGTCTGTTTATTGTAAAAGTTGAGATAAACTTTTTTGTCCGTTTTTATTATTCAAGCCTTTATCAGATCATTGTTTAGATGGCTTAGAAAAAAAAAAAAAAAGAGGAGGATAGTTCCCAGCTTAGCTTTCTGCTTTCTAGAATTTTTGGTGTCACAACTTTGCTAGTTTTTCCCATATTACTTATAGTGAATTCCCGGTCATATTTGAGTGGTGACTTTCTTTTCTTTTACGGTGGTATGTTCTATGTTGCTTTTGCTTGTTCGGACTGTTATTGCTTTGATGTAGATTACAGAATTTGTTCAAAACATCATTAAGTCGACGAGTTAATTCTTTGCGTCGTAAAGTGATTGTTTTAGGATAAACTGCAGCTATTGCTGAATAAACATATTCGACAATAAGGTGCTATGATTTATCAGAACTCAGAAGAGAACTCTTAAGATGTAATCTGTCTGTGTACGTATTTCTTTTTCAAGCCATTCAGGGAGCAGTTTACTGTTTTGGTACCTGTATAAGAGATGATGCATGATTATGTCTTTGTAGTCTGTCTAATTGGTACCTATTACCGCAGGAGCTTGTGTAATAGATACCTATTTTCGACAATGAGAGATTGAATGTGTTTACTATAACTTTTGGCAAGGACTTTTTTATAAAATTTTGTACATTCTTTCAAAGCTTATATCGACAGTCTATTTTTTTATTATTAGTTTAGTGCAGTTTTTCTACTATTTTGTCTGCTGTGGATGTTGGTTGTGTTATTGATGACATGGTGTTTTGAGCAAAATGTGCAAAATGAACGAGCTAACAATGCTTAGTTTTCTCCGCAGGATGAGGGGACCTACAATCGCCTCAGAAATTCAAGTTGTCGAGCAAAAGGAGGCAGAAAGAGTTCCCACATCGATCATGCAATGCCCTTAATCTTAGTTCTGCTGTTTTTCATTTTCAGTTTTTCCTTCGGACTTATTACCGATTTGAGATGTAATATTTTATATTTCCCTTGTTAGACGTTGGCACATTGTTTTGACATAGGAAAAGGAGGGAAAAGGAATTTAGAAACTTTAGTAGTTATGTTTTGATACTTACCTAACTGTGCTCTCTAGTTTATTTTATGATGAATTCATGGTTCAACGGTTCAGCCACTGGACTGATTTTTTTCCCCAATGATGATACAATTAAAGCCCAAAATGCAAACGGGTGCATATGGCACTTACAACAAGAACATAACAGAGCAATTCTACAATATTACAATATAATAAAACATTAGAAAACATGGCATGGTCGCTCTCAACGATGGCTGAACACATCTACACAAGAACAAATCAAACAATCTCAAAGCTCTATCATGGGCAACTTGTCTCCAATTGTGGGATAGGCTATTAGACGTCAACTAAACACGATTCTTATCATAAATGCAGAGAAAACAGAGAAGCAATGAAATATTATTTGTAACAGAGGAAGTGATGCGAATGAAAAAGGAAACTACACTAATTTAATCTCACTGGTGCCAGTACCACTAGCGGTTTTTCAACACAAAAAGGGATATAGTTTTAGTCACAAAAATTAAAAAATCAACACTCTGCAGATAACAAGTATCCATGTTTTATTCATGGAGCAAGGCCCAACAATTCGTCACAGAATAGTGTAAACAGGGAATGTTCAGGGCCGAACGAAAAGATCCTACAAAAGTGTTTGTGTATGTAAAATAACAACCTCATTTTTCGAACAAAAGGTAAAAAAAATTCAACGATAGATTACCACAATCTTAAATTATAATAATAGCAACCTCGTTGTTTTGATCTGCTTTCCGGATTTAGTTGTGAACCAACCAACATTTGGAGCATGCCTATTGCCCACTTTCAAGTCAAGTATTTTTTTTTAACAAAAATAAAAGTGATGCATGCCAAATGGTAAAGTACCAAGTGCTTTTTTTTTTCCATGCAATATGCGAATAAATCTTTATAAGGTAAACAAATTTTAAAATTATTATAATCACAATTAATTTAAATTAATTTTTACTAATAAATTAATATATTTTAATTTTCATAATTTTATTTCTTTAATTTATTTATAATTAATATAATAAAATTTTATGTATTCACTTTAATTTATTTTTATTTATCTTTAAAATATCATAAAATTTTTAATACCCATGAATTAATTCTATACCATTTATTTTTTGGGTGAGTAAATTTTATTCCATTTTACAGCTTCATGTCCCAATCCAATCCCCATTCCCCACCAAATACTATGCTTGAGCCGAAAAAACAATCAACAGGTTCTGACTTGCAAACTGAATGTACGCGCACGTGTTGAACGCGACAATTGTTTTCTCCCCAAAATCATTATAATAAATAGACGGCGTGTTTCCTTTAACCACTGTTTCAGAATCAGTTTAATCTTGCTTTTGTTGCTGCGCAATCCCTCCCTCATTTCATCACGGCGTTCTGTGCTTCGATGGAAGGTTTGGCTTCTCTCAAGGTTCCCTTTCAGCCACCCTCATCATTCTCTTCCAGACCAAGAACTTGGATTTCACCTACCCAAGTCAATTTTTGTAAAAGAACCTCACTTTTCACTTTTTCTATTCGAGCCCAGGTGAGATTTTTGCAAATTTTCAGTCGTTTTGCTACCTTTTATTTGTTGATTGATCAGGGTCACTCTTTTTTGTTTTTTTTGGGGAGTTGGGGTTTACTGATAATGGAGATAGATGTTGGGAAGTAGAATTTGGATTCAATTGAAGTGTGTGAATGCTGGACTTTATTGTGAGGAACCCTTTTTGATTTTCTCATGTGGGTTTTGGATTATGCGGTGTTTTTTATTAGATGGAGTCAATTGATGGTTCAGCTGCAGTAGCCACATCTGGTGAATCTGTGACTGAGGCTCTCAAAATTAAGGAGTGGGAAGTGGGAATGTTTCAAGATGAAGTTGCTGCTAGCCAGGGTATCAGAATAAGGAGAAGGCCACCAACTGGACCCCCTTCGCATTATGTAGGACCCTTTCAGTTCAGATTGCAGAATGAGGGCAATACACCCCGGAATATTTTGGAAGAGATTGTGTGGAACAAGGACACTGAAGTCTCACATGTATTGTGATTGATTTTCTTTGTGCTATATTTTTCTTAATATATATGTTTTTTGTGAATTAGATTGAATGTGTACTGAGGACAATTTGATTTTCAGCTTAAAGAAAGAAGACCCCTCAGTGAACTGAAGAAAGCCCTTGCAAACGCACCTCCTGCTAGGGATTTTCTTGGTGCTCTAAGGGCTGCCAACGAACGAACTGGACTGCCAGGGCTGATAGCTGAAGTGAAGAAGGCTTCACCAAGTAGAGGTATCTTGAGAGAAGATTTTGATCCAGTAAGTTTGTCTTATTTCCTCTGATCGTTTTTACGCGTAGAATTTTTATCTTTCTACTTTATTTGTAACATTTATTAAGTTGTTATTGATGTCATGTGGGAAATGTTTGAACTGGCTTCAACGGGCTGGCATCCTATTGCATCTTGTTGGCTAGAGTTAGTCTAGTAAACTTTTTCCCCTCATTTGGTGGTTTCCTTGAATCTACTTGTTATAGCACAAGTGCTTGATCTGAATCATATTTGCAGAGATATGTCTTATATTCTTCCATACTACATGACAATTTGTTGTTTCTTAGCTTCTTAAGCTTTTTGCTTACCTCTTACCCTAATGCAGTTTCTTCCCCTGATAAAACCCCTTCTCGAATCTACTATAGGATCTCAGTTTTCTTTTACTATCATTGCATACAGAGTTTATTTTATAGTTTTTAAATTTCATTTGGTTCCATATACCCCAGTCAAGTGTGAATATAAACTTATCTGGGTGATTGGAGTCTCTGTGTAGCGTATAATACCTGTTTTTGGATAGCTCGTTTGTTTCTCAATAACTCGTCCAGGTTCATGGTTCGTAAAGAAATATTGCTTCGAAATAAGGACCTGTTCTGAATCTTTTGTATCTGGAAGATGTTATGTTTTCTCATGTAGAATCTTGGTTACTTAGTACTTTTGTATTTTACATATCATATGGTTCAAGCAACTTATCCAACACTGTTGTTAGTTTGTATTTCTTCTCTTCACCGTATATGCCACTATTTTAGAGGTTCTATGTGTTAGGTTGAAATTGCTCAAGCTTACGAGAAAGGTGGAGCAGCATGTCTAAGTGTTTTAACAGATCAAAAGTATTTTAAGGTAAACCAAACTAACTATGACTTTATTAGAACTTAGAAGCTCCTTTACAACTTCTGTACTGCTAGATAATTTTTGGTTGGTTTAGTAGTGGGTGATATTGCAGCTAAATGATTACTACCTCCTAACTTGATATTGGTTTTCTTGATCCAGGGAAGCTTTGAAAATCTTGAGGCAATAAGAAACGCTGGCGTAAAGGTTTGCTTTGTGAATTTTATAATCCTCAATATTTGATATATTCTACCGTCTAATGCTTTATGAGGCCATGTTGTTGACTCTTGGCAAAATATGTAGTGCCCTTTGTTGTGCAAAGAATTCATCATAGATGCATGGCAGCTCTATTATGCTCGAACTAAGGGTGCAGATGCAGTCCTTCTAATTGCTGCTGTTTTGCCTGATCTTGACATCAAATACATGATTAAGATATGCAAATTACTTGGACTGACTGCACTTGTTGAGGTAAGATTGGTGCTTAACTATTTGGTTCCTGAATTTGAATGAATTTCAACATTTATGAAACATCTTTTAGCTTACTGACATCTGGTGTTCAATATGAATTATTCCTGAAGCCAAGTTTTGAGTTTATCCCATTTTTAGTGTAAACTCCTATAGTTGGTTACTATTAGTTTTGAAATGAGTAATGATTCTGTGCAAGAAAGCAAGAACTAAAGCGTGTTAGATCAAAAGTCAAAACCTTTAACTGTCATGACTCAAGAATGATTAGATGATTGTGATTCCTGCAATGTATCCAGTACTTACAAGTCATCAACACAATTTGCTTAGATTTCCCAAATGTTTCCCATGATCCCTATTTGACAGTTTATGTTATTTTCTCCTAGGTGCATGATGAGAAGGAATTTGATCGTGTCCTTGGAATAGAGGGGATTGAGCTTATTGGCATTAACAACCGTAATCTTGGTATGCCTTATCACTCCTCTCTCTCTCCCTCCATCCTTTCAATTTCACTCTTTTCTTTTTGATGAAATGGTATGCCTTTTCTTTCGCTTGTATTCAAAATGTGATTAATAAGTAAATTATGCAAATTGGCTTTCACTTGGTACTTCAAATCAAATCCTTCCTTTTCCTACTTGACCTTATTACGACAATCTTTTAGAACTCAAAATCTTTGGAGTAATAGAATTATTTTTATCTGCATGCATGTTTCTCCTTGCAACCTCTTTTCTGTTACATTATTTGGTATACATTAGTATTGTGAATCTGGAAAATACATCTTCAGGTTCAAAAGTATATATTTGAAAATACTGATAATTTTCTACTTTCTTTTTATCCTTTTGTATCAACGTATGAATATTTAACTTGGGATTTGAGGGATTAATAGTGGATTTTCTTTGTTGGGGTTGTAGAAACATTTGAGGTGGATATCGGCATCACAAAGAAGCTTCTTGAAGGAGAGCGAGGCAAAATAATACGCGAGAAAAACATAATTGTGCGTTGCCTTTCCTTTCCTTTATTTACTTAGATTTACTTGAAAGAAATGTCTTATTCTGAATATCATTATCCTCCTAATGATTCTATATGGTTTGTCTAGATGGTTGGGGAATCTGGTCTGTTCACACCCGAACATATTGCCTATGTGCAAGAAGCAGGTGTTAAAGCTGTAAGTATTGGGAATCATTTCTACGTTAAACACCTTCAAAATCCTAACAGCATCCTAGTGACAACTCTAAACCCCTTATATTTGAGTCATTCACATATAACATGACATAGCCATGAGTCTTTAGCAAGTGGTAAAAATGACCTCGTTACTAAAAGGAATCTTGGAGATACTAAAATATGATGCATAACATAGTTGTGTCAGCCAAATTATTCATCATATCCTTGCTATCATGTTGTTTGTTGCACCATCTTCAGTCTTAAATTGATTAAAACAGTAGTTGAACTTTTAGTAACACGTGTTTGCCAACTGCTTTGCCATTTAAGGGGATTGCTCCAGTTTCCAGAGTGTCAAAAATTTGTCACTTGTTGATTATACTTGATAAATTTTCCTACATTTATGATAAACCAACAATCAACAAATGTTTCACAACTCACCCCAGGTATACAGTATACTCTTATGGTATCATAGTGATTCCATGATTTCACCATATTATTATTTTTCCGCAGGTATTGGTTGGAGAGTCTATTGTAAAACAAAGTGATCCTGGAAACGGGATTAGCAATCTCTTTGGCAAAGATATCTCTTTGGGTTGAAGTGAGATACCTTTCTTGAGATATAGGCATTTGAGACATAGATTTGATGAGGTTATTGATTTGATTGATGCCTTGTACTTTTGCTTGTACTAAATTGTCAAAATCTTATCAAAAGCAAACATGTGCCAAAATAAATTATAAATAAATATAATATAATATTCAACTTAATTATAATTTTTTGATATTTGATTGTTTGGCGACTACTTTTCTGATTCCTTAACTTTTCAGTTTGCAGTATCTACACTGCAACTAATTGGTGGTCTTTTTCTTTTTTGTTTCCACTAACAAATTCGAATGATTTTGTGATAGTAAGTAACCCACACAACGCCATTAGCTAGGAGAGGTACGGAATGAATAAAGATAATTTTTGTCTCTACAACTTTCAGTGTCCAAAGTAAAATAGAACCATGCATTCAAAATCTACATTGGAATAAATTTCTTCAATAACTTGCGTTAGTGTCTAACTCTCCAAGGGCTTTGCGTAGACAAGATCTGTGCAAATACGAGTTTTTTCTTTTTTAAACAATAATCAATTATATAACTTGGTGGTTTCATTTTGTTAATTTAAATTTTAAATAAAAAGATTATTCCAAAACAAAAAGAAAAAAAATAACTTCAAAGCCAATATATTTTAAAGAAAAAAATTGCGGCTTCTATAGCAAGTATTACACATAGGGTCTTTTGCATAGTACACTGTTAATGGACGAAACATTTTGCTTCATTTTTCGTCTAAGATTTCACCCTATTCGCTCTCGTAATCATAATCATACTTCATATCATGCAGTGAAAAGTGAATTTTTTTTTACCTGGGGATTAAACAATGGAAAATTTATATATTTTCTTAAAAATTATATATACTGTGATATTTTAAAGAGGATTGAAAAACATGTGCATGTGAGATACTTTCACTTGATTAGTAAATAAACCACATATCTTCAAATCCGCATATGAAGTGATTTTTCTTCAAAATTTGTTTATATATATGATCTCTCATTTATCTTCTCCCCCATTTCTTATACTCGTTATCTTTCAACTTATCTTATTTTGATCCTTTTTAACCATCATTAAATATCCAAAATACTTGACAGTGCTACATTTAATCAAACAATAAAATCTATATCTATTATACATTTCGTAATGGTGAGAGCTTCTTAACTGAAGATGGTATTTATACATTCATTACATTTGAAATATGTGATTTACACGGCTGAATGAGAGTATATCTAAAAGATAAAAAAAAATTAATAATGTAAAGTTACGTGGGAAATATTACTTTTTCTTGGCCTAAAATGTATTACTGTTTCTTAACCTATTATTACAACTTAATCACACGAGGAGGGCTTAATAATGTATTTAGTACTAAAATATTTTAAAAAGGACCTTAGAACTTTATATAATCAAGTTTGTTGATAGAATTATTTTAGTAAAGCATTGTATTACAAAGCCATCGGTTTCTGACATTTCCATCTTCCCACAGTATTAGCTGAGAAAGAATCAACGAATTGTCTCGAGGAATTTCAAAATGTTTAAGATAAGAGCATATATCCAATGGGAGGTATTTATTTTATTTGTTTTTATTTAGCCAAACCACATTTTACAAATATCACCGTTAGAGTCTCGTGAACTATCAATAAAACCAAGAGAAAAAAAAATGAACATTCTTATAAAATTTGTGCCTCTCAAAATTAGTAATTTTAAAATAAAAAATATAATGAAATAGAAAAAATATATATTTTTTTATAGGATTCGTTTAAGTAAGCTTCTAGTGTTAAATAATTAAACATGAGAATTATTTAAGTTGTAAATAGTAAAAAGAGTGATGTATCATTATGGGACTTGTATAAAAATTATAGATATATATAAATTAAACAACTTTCAAGAGTTGCACTGTTACAAATGCTTTAAATAACAAAGACGGTGGGGCATCACTCGTCACGGACTATACAATGAAGACAATGGGTAATGGAGGGATTAAAGGTGATAAATTTTTGGAGAAATAATTCCATCAAATACTAAAGTTTGGGAGAGAGAAACTCTATTGAATTTAAAATAGTTTTAATTTACTCAAATAAATCTAGCCACAAACTTATTTAAATGAAATACTAGGAATTTTTTGTCCAAATATTTTGGATATAAACTCTTCCCCTCCTCCACCCACACAGATTTTATAGAATATTACATTTTGTATAGGTTATTATTACATTTTGGAATACCCACCTTTTATAATAGGTTATTGATTTTGGCAATACACACCCTAAGGTTATTAAGTTTTGGAACACATATTCGCACTTCAAACATAATCCAATGAAATTTATGTGCTCATAAGATTAGTTTGGTTTTTTTTTTAAAAAAAAAAAAACAAGTAAATAAGTCGAGTCAAATTTGAGTTTTTCTCTCTATTAAATTTGGCAAGAAGTTTCTGAAGTTTTCTACTAAACTCGTGCCTCTAACAACAACAAATTTTAGCATTTGATTTAGAATGTGAACACGAAAAAAAGAATTGATAAGAATGTTGGGTTATTTCTTCTTTTGTTTGTATTCTTTTTATATTTTTGTCAACATATTTCTTCTTCCTCTTCAATGGGTTGAAAACTTGAACCTAGAGGAGTTGCAAAGCCCCATCTCCCTTTGCTTCTATCCTCCACAAGTGTTGAGTCCTTTTACTCCCTTAATGTTTGTGGGAGGGTGGATGCTTCATAGATTACCTCCTTAATTTTCAAACAAGGAAAATGTTTTTTTCCCTTTTAACATTTAATCCTTATCCTTTTCTTCCCTTTCCCCTCTCCCAACTTAGAATCAATACTATGCTGTTCTTAATAGGAAATAACTTTCCAGTAAGATATGCAATTTAAAAATTATGATAAATGATTTTGTATATGTTTAGAAACACGTTGAAGATTCTTGTAAACATTAACTCAACTCACAAATTATAATTAACAACGTTAAAGTCAACTTGAATTCATTACCAATTAAACGTGAATAAAGAATATGCTATATATTATGTAGTAAAAGAGAACCACAAGGCCCACAAGCTTGGAAAACCTAGTGATCGAACATGACATATAATAACTGGCAACAGCATAGCATTTGACTCATTTCCATCAAAGATTTATATTCATTATAAAATATAATATTTACAATGGCAAAATACAAATAAATGAGGACTAATAATTCATCAAAAGTATGAACTGGTGTAATCAGCATCTTCTATCTTAAATCACAAGTCTGCAAAATGAACCCAGAACTGTATTCTCCATACCACTATGGTTCCTGTGACAACAAAATGACTTGTATTTTAGAGACTCCAAGCAAATTCATTAAACACGGCATTGAACAAAATTTGGGAGAAATGGAATTTTGTCTCAAGGTTTATTGAGAATACTTAGATGTCCATGATTCCAGCATCCAAATAATTGCTCAATGCATGAGGAAACGGTTTGAAGATAATAAGCACACAAGAGATATTCATAATTTTTAAAAAATGAAAAGATAAATAGACCAAATGGCATTGAAGTTCATATTTAAAGAAGTTGATTTTGAAAAAGAAGCATTCAGATATGAAGAGAATGACAGAAAGATATATATACCAACACTGTGGGACCATTCATATTCAGCTGGAAGATGATTCTGTGTCATCTGAGGAGTCTAAATAGAACCAACCGTACTGCAAACCATTAAAAAATGCCATAATTGAAAATTAACCAGACTGCATAAATTGGAATAACCATTGAAACTGAAAGTAGCCAAACCTTATCAAACTTCCCAACCATTGCTGAATCAGCTTCGTCGTCCACCTAAACCATTCACCTTGTCACAAATACAGTAGGAATCTCAAATATGAAAGAATGAACAGCATCAATTTCATTTGATTAACAAGCAATGAGGTGAGGTTTGCAACATATGAGAGTTGGTGCGAACAAAAACAAGTTCACAAACCCTGGCATCTTCACCTCTTCCTACATCTTTGCTTATATTTAAATGAACTAATTGACTACCATCATTCTAACAATATAATATGTAAAGTATGCAAACAAAAACGGATAGCAATTTAAGAAGTTGAACAACAATCAAACACCTATTAGAATGAATTTGCAAAAGGGACAAGTTAGTTCAATGTGTACCCAATAAAGTGTTAGAAATCCAGAAGAATAACCACACAAGTTACCTCGAGCCATAAACAACAATTTTGAAACTTCATTGAATAGTCTTCTTAGGACCAAAAAATCAGTGAGCCACAACAAATTTTGAAGGAAACAAATTTCAATATTGACATGTACCCAGTCAATGAGAAATCATTGTTACCATTGTCCACTTACCTTTATAATCTCATTAGCCTCCTTATTCAGAGCTTCTTGGTGGTTATAGTCCAATACTCTAGCATGACAAACATATGGCTGCTTATCCTGAAGAGAAAATGAAATTTATGCTGCAGAGGAATACAAATTTAAAATTGAAGTGAAAAAAAGATGGTGTAGGTTTTTACCTCATGGGACATTTTTTGCCACCTTTCAACCCCTGCTCTATCAGCTTCAAGAAAATTTTTAATTTTGCAACTCTTCATAAAGCTTTCCCTGAGAAAGAAAGCTAATCAATACAACATGACTTTTACCATAAAACCAAGCACATTGAAAACCTCCATTCAATAGCAAATACAAACCAAAACGAAACTAAATCTCAAAAAGGCCACAACATAGCTACACATAGCAGAACATCAAGTGGAAACAAATCCAAACCAAACAGGAATCCTATTTTTATAATCAACATCATAAATGAATGAAGAACCATAGATTGCATTAAAAAAAAAAAAGATAGAAACTTTATCAGAACTTCATCAACCAAACAACATGAGGGGTCAAAAAAATTAAACATACAAAAGGAAAAAAACAAAACTGATTACATGAAGAGACGAAAAGGTGACGCGGGTTGGTTCTTAAATCTTTGATCATTGCTCTTGGGGACACTTCGCATCCCTTGCATTCCCTTGAACCTCTTGGACTTAGAACCCATCTTTGTATCACAGTGGTGCATATCAGCCAAGGCAACAGCAACAGAAACCCCACATATTTCACTGCAAACAAACACGAATATATATAAACACAAGCACGCACGAAGCACTACGGTCCGAGAATGCGAAAAGCATGAGGTAGAACTTCGAAAATAGAAAAGAGGCATAGAAGGAAAGCACCCAAAGAAGAAACAGAAAATGGGGGGAAGAGAAAAAGCATTAATGGTTATTGAAACGGTTAAGGAGCACGTGAAGGAAAAGGAATATGTACCATTTCTGAAAGGCGCTTCCATCAGGGGCGCGAAGAATTGCGAAGACCCTCTTTCTGGGTCTGGGAACGAAGGCCATTACAACATGCAGTGTTGAAGGGTTCTATCTTCTATGTTCTCGGTTCTGTGAGATTACAACTCGTGTGTTGTTGGATCATCATTTTCCTCAGTAACACTTGTGTGTGTAATCGAACGATAGTCCTAAACAATGCTTCCGTTATATTTGATTGAGATATTTACATAAACTAAATATGAATCATATATCTCTTATTTTACGTGTGCTTTTTTATTTAAAAAATATGAAAGTTGATTTGTAACTTAAAAATAAAAAATTCTTCACAAAATGCTTGGTGGGTTGTGTTGCCAGCTTTTACTTATGAATCACTTTTTTCTTCTTCTCAAAAGTTCTCTTTTGTTTAGAAAGGAAAATAGCCGGTGGATTAAAAAACAAAAAGAAAAGAGATAAAATCTTATACATAATAAATGATATGATGATAAAAAATGAAAAATGTTAAATAAGTCTTGGTAATATTTGAATGTTTAATGATTAAAAAATAAATGTTAATTAATGTGTAAAGAATAGTACATAAAAAAAACTTATTCATGTATTTTGGTTTTTTCAAAAATATTATTAATTTTAAAATTTTAAATAAATAAAATATTTTTATTAAAATAAATATTTATTTATATAAAAAATTACCATTTTTAAACCTTTTAAATCTGGGAAAACTTGTGTTATTTCTTAAAAAAATAGTGCACAAAAACTTTTCCCGCTGGAACGCAAATTGAAGGCGGGACACCTTTTGTGTTTGCTAATTTAGTGGCAGAACTTGTTGGGGCATTTACATTTCGTTTAAAAAATTTGAGTAAGTGCGGGATTTTGATTCATTTTTTAAAGGAAAATTTTACTTTTCGATTAACTTTTTCTTAATTAGATTAATTATAAACTGTTTGAATATAAAATCACCAAATATCAATTTTCAAAATAAATTTTAGACTCTTTTTGGTGAATCCTTCAGGTCATCATTTCTTTTTATATAGTTATACGTTTCTTTATTATGTGACATGTACGTTCTTATTTTTAAATCAAATACAATCAATCTGTTTTTTTAATAACTTAATTTTAATACTTAGTTAATATAAAAATTTATATCATCAATTAATTTAAAATATATAATAAATATAAAATTTAAATTAATTATTATAAATTTAATATTTTTATTGATACAATAATCTATAATTAGTTGTCCAATTAAATATTTTTTTAGCTTATTTCAGTAAAAAATTAATATTTTAATCAATATTCACTGCAATAAATGTTGAAGAAAGAGAAAACCAACAACATCTTTTGTCTTATAAGCACTTGTAAAAATAATAATAAAAAAATATGTAGTTTGACATGTCCATGTTTACAACTTTTTTTTACAATAACAAAATTATAGATTGTTATCTTTCAAAATTATTTAAGTCTTCAGTACATTTAAAATACTATATATTATTGTGATAAAAAGTTTCATAATAAAATTTTATGCTTATAATGTTCTTTTTATTTTTTATTGAAAATTTTAATGTGAAAATTTCTATATAATTAAGTCCATATTAATTATATATACTCATCCAAAGTCTTATAATTTTTAATTTACTTATTTTTCTCTTAATTTTCTAAATTTTACCATAATCACCGACAAAACATTTCTCAAATTTCTCTTATGTATATAACACTATCAATTACTTCTCTTGAAACGTAGCCATTGAAGGAAGAGAATAAAGAGAAAATAAGAGTTTAAATGATTGATGTGACATGAAAAGAAAAGAGAGATAAAAAATAGAAAGAGGAATAGAATGTATGGGTATATAAATATCATTTTTGTTCTTTAAAAATCATATACTCATCAACAACGGTCGCATGTTCTTTGTTAATAAATATATATTCATCATACTTTTCTTTTTGGTCTAAATTGTCCCGTGTCAGCCTTGGGCCTTATGGCCAAGTTTCTTTTGTTTGGGCTGCTTTTCGGCCTTGTTCCTCTGCGGGCTTCGACACAGGAAAACAAAGATGCAGTCAATTTGAACCCAAAAAAAACATATGCACAGTATATAATTTTTTTAATTCTTACAAGCTAATAACACGTTCTCTAACGTACTTTTTGTAAGAGATATTTTGTTATTGATTAAAATTTATTAAAAACTATAAAATTTATATAAATCTAGCATTCTTTTTACTGTCATTTTAATTCTTGAAATATTCATATCAATTTACTTTGTGACCGTAGAGGCTTCTTTTTTTATTTTTTAAGTATAATAGCTTTCTATATTTTCAATTGCATCAGAAAGATACAGCAAATTCAATTACAAAGAATCCATATGAAAATTGAAATTGTAAAGAAGAACATCGAAAAGCAAGTACAAAGCCCAAGTTCCAAACTAACACACTCATCAGACGGTCCATATTACTGTCCCGGAAAGGGGGTTATCAATCCTAACAATCAAGTAGAACCTGTAAAATTAAATTTCATGCAAAAATTTTAACTAATAATGTTAAAATAAACGTGAATTCAAAGTCATTCAAACATGAATTTAAAAATGCACAAAATCTACTAGCCTCGATAAAGCTAAGCTAGTTGTGTTAAGTAAGACAATTATGCAAGAAAAACATAGTTTACAAAATCAAACAGTCACAAACTCTATATGTCTGACAAAAAAACAGATACAAATAAGAATCAATAAAGAACAGACAGAAAAAGGCAAGACATTGATGCACGCATAGGCATTAGGATTAAATTCAGTCCCTTTTTTTACTTCTCTTTCTCAAGGGGAGTGATATTTGGATGAATCCAAACTTCTTCCTCTGTGATATGAACTGCTTTTGATTGTTCTCATCTTTCTCCGGTATTGTTGGTAGAGTTAGATCCTCTCTCAATGCTTGAAGCATTTGACTCAATGCTACCTTCCTTTCAGTATGCTCTTCCATCTCCTTTGTTGTAGAATACTCTTCAGGAACTTGCTTTTTACTAAGTACATCTCTCATTGAAATTGAAGACCTTAAAATTGGCTTTTGATCATTTTTAAGGGTTGTTGACCTGGTTACATCCCTTATATGAGAATCTGGACAATTTCCAGCTTCATTGAACTTGTTGCACCTTATAGAGTTATACACTTCCTGTCCATTCAGTTCATCCTCAGGAATCCATCTTCGTAGAGCCTCTTCAGCAGCACTTTGTTTTCTGTTTGCAGCTTCAATATTGTTTAAAGCCTCATTCAAGACTTGTTTGCTATGTAGAACTTCTTTGGTTGCTTCTTCCAATTTCTTCAAAATTGTCAATTTAGAAGAACTTATTTCCCCAATAACCTTTTTGAAGGTAGGCTCCTGAGGTATTTGATCAATTGAATTTAGAGGAGAGTGTTCCTCTAAAGCAAAAGTCACTTTATGATGAGAAGGCAACGCGAATTCTGATGATATCTCAGCACTAGATAGAGCCTTGATTTCAGCAAGAGCAACAGCTTCTGCAGCCATTGCGGCTTCTTCCATCTTTTTAGCTGCAAACCACCTCATCTCAGCAGTATTTATGCTAAATCCATTCTCTCCATACTCACACAAAGGCTTTGAAACTTCAGAGCTTCTTGTTTCAACCATTCCATTGTACTGTCCAGCATCAAATTTGAAATTCCTTGCAACATTTAGGGGATTATGAAAAGTGCAATTTGTTCCTATAGGAGCTGGTGGTGGCTTTAACCTTTCTTCTTTTTGGGCTACTTCTTGAGCAGAAACAGCTGCAAACTTTGATGCTAGCTCGCCGCGTGTCCTCTCAAGAAAAACCCTCTCCCTCTTGATCTTCTTATTCAAGGATTCAACAGAAGACTGTATCATCCTAAGCTCATTGATAGTTTTACTAAGGTTCATCTTAGCTTGTTTTAACTCCATTAAAAAATCATCAGGTGATGATGTAGTAGCAAAGGGGCTTGGACTTTGCAATATTTGTTCTTCATTTTTTACAATGCTTACACAATTTTTAACAGGAGTTCCAACCTGTTCATGCGAATTTATACATGGAGTTGCAAAACATTTCAATGCTTCTGTTTGTAGCTGCTGCTTTAATTCCTCCAAAATTGTTTTCGTAGCTCCGAGTTCTTCAAGCACATCTAGTGTTTCAAGTTCTTTCACTATCAAATCTTTTTCCAACTTAGCTGCTTCTTCCTCCACTTTCTTTATGTCTAACTCTTCAATGCTGTTCTGTAATGACAATCTTCAACATCAGAGTAAATTACCACAGGAGTATAATTGTATAAATAAGGAACCATACTATGTTAGAACATGGAGAGTATGAGTAGATGAAAATCACAAGAATTTCCAAGGACAAATGCAAATAGACACCTTCATAGTAAATAGGCCAACTTTGAGAGTTTCACTCGCGACAAGACTCAAAGCCTCAAAATAATAATAAATAAATAAAGCAATTTTACTGTCATACATTGTTCTAAGCAACCAAACACATTCATTTAACAATATATACATATAAAACATCTTTGCAGCTCACATGCATCTGTCATCCTACGATAGATTTTAAAAGAATGCGGCTCAATGTCCGTCCGAGTACTCTTCTCAGAATTTCAGGATTGCTGTGACACTGTTTACTTGGAAACTTGATTTTCAAACTTTCACTTACCAAATACTAATTTTTGAGTAAACAGTGAATAATAATTACACTTGAAAACAAATAATTATCCTGCTTTCAACCTGCACTTAAAGAAAATATTCATAACCCTAAATTGAAAAATATTTACAGTGAGGAGAGTGGAAAGTACAAACAAATGAAGGATTAAAATATATATATATATATATTAGAAACACAGATGGCTGAAAATTTACATAAGCTTCTCCAAGCTTGTAAAGGGGTATCCATGGTCCACTTCCTCCAAAACGGGTCACAGCCTCCTTGACCGACCCGAACGGTGGCGTGGTATCGATTTCAGCTCTCGAACCCACCTTCCTTATCCCCGGAACCGGGTTCTGATCCGACCCGATTCCTGTGTCGGGTTTGGCTTCTGTCATGCTCAAACTATTTGCGTCGGTTTCCAAGGACTCGAACATTGGCACAGAGTTGAAAGAAGAGGCGGGTTTCAGAGAAACATCCACAACTAAAGTTACTTAAAGGTTTGTGCTTTGACTTTATTGACGTACCCATTTGTGGGATTTATGGGAATACCGAGGATGAAGGAGAAGGGGTGCGTGATGATGGCCGAGTCACGAACTGGGTCGAAAAAGGGTGGCGGGTCAGGGAATCGGGTCCACACTAAGAGCGAAACGGGAAAGCAGAAAAGAGAAAAAGTGGAACGGCAGCGGAAAGCACTTCTGGCGTTGGATGCTGTGGGGATGGTGACGTGGACTTATAGTTACGGTGCGCGCTTTAATTTGGTTGGTTGGTAGAGGGAAAAGTCAAATGTTGTGGTAACAAATCATGAAAATAACCAATGAAGGGGAGCCACGTCACCCTGCGTCCGTTAGAAGAGCTTGTCCTGTCTGTAACCTTCGCATGATTTAGAGCGTGATTAGCGGTAAGAGAAAAAAAGCGTTTCTTTTTCTTTATTAATTTTCGTGCATGGAAACGACGGCGTATTGCCCGCCACTGTACGGCTCAACTCAATCTTTCCAACTTCTGCCATAGCCAACACGATACAATGAGGTAGTGGCTGATCAGGGTGAGCGAGGCGATTTAATAAATTAATTAATAATTATTATTATTAAATGAAAATAAGTGTTAAAATTGCATAAAATTTTAGTATATATAATAAAATAAATTGCATATTCTATAATTATTTCTTTATGTAATTTTACTTTTTAAAATTGTTGAATGATAAGTCTGGCGTCTTTGTATTTGTTCATTCTCAAATAAAGGAGTTCAAAATCATAAAAGGAAAAAAAATTAATTTAAATACACATGGTATACTTATTTTTATATTATTATTTAATCACAAATTATTATATTTTGAAATTCGGTAATTTAAAATAATTAATATAAAAATTATATTTATAGCATATTTTAATGAATTAAAAGTATAAAAAATAATCCTAAAAATACATTAAAATCAAATTAAAAAGGTAAAAATATTAAATGGGAGAGTAGATTTGGATATGGGACGAGCTTTCTCTCTCTTCAATCAATCCCTGCCTTCAAAGAAAGGAAATATATGTAACTTGTTTAATGAAAAATTAACCCTAAAAAATTAGAATAATATGGTTCGAGAATTCTCTAAGGTAATAAATTTGACATGTAATGAATAAGTATTTTATTTTAATATATATAATATAATTTTAATAAAATATAAAAAGCTTATATAAGGTAATAAAAAATTCTTATAAATGTAAATATAGATATTCATATGAAATCTAAAAATTCATAGAAAGTAATAAAAAAAATCAAGTAACAATTTTAACTTAGTATTAACTAAATTATAATAATATATAAATTAATTTTATATTTAATTATAATATATGTTAAATAAATTAAAATTTAAAATAAATAAAATTTTAAACTTCATAATATTATATATAAATCTTGTGAATTTTTTAAACATAACTTATTTAGATAATTTAATAACTTAATTATAAAGAAACGTCTCAGTACAATATAAGCTATTAAAAATACTAATAAGTTAAAAGTAATGTTCTAAAAAACTCAAATTAAATTTATTAAAATGTTTATAACAGATAATATGTTAAATTTAAATTTAAATTATTAACTAACTTAAACTTTCTTATTCAAAACTTAGTATAACTTAACCTGCTTTCATCCAAGTTGATGAATAGTTTTCCAATTTTCCAAATCAGATATCGAAAGAATATTAGAGAAGTTTTATACATGGTGAATGTTTAAAACTGAGATTTTAATAATTTTATAGGAAAAAACAAAGAAAAAAAAAGCTAAGAGAATTACATCATATTTATAAAATTAAAAAATAGTTTTATTGTAAAAAAAATCCTCTTCATTTTAAATTGATTGAGTTTTAATATTTACAAATAATATCTTAATCAGTAAAATATTCTTACTAAATTATTTTTATTACTTATTTTCCTTGTTTGCTAAAAATTTGACTCATACAATACTTAAAAATCATTATATTCATTATCTAGTAGAGACATTATTAAAATAAAAAAATATTATTTTATTAAAGTCATGAAACGTTACTTAATATTTTTTTACTAAAATGTTTCTTAATTTAAAATAGAGGGAGTGATAGAATAATCCATCTGAAAAAAAGAATATATTAATGAGCCTAAACGCTACTCCTTACGTACAAGTTTTGGATTCAACAATTTAAGAAAGAAGTGATTTCCATGGTGAATACTGTGTACAGTAACTGGACTCTTACGGAGACATAGAATAAGGTCACCGAAAATGGAAACAATTTCTAGCAAAGCAGGAAGTACTATCCCTTTAGATGCCTCTGAACGCCAATGTTAGATTATTTACACTTCAATGGAAATGGTGCAGATGTTTTTGTGAAAGAAGAAGAAAGTGAACTATACAATCTGTCATTGTAACTTTTTCAGGAACCACACCCATTTGAAAACGAAAAAAGAAAAAGCAAATCATGATGATGATTTTTTTATGTTTTTGGAGAAAACTAACATCAAGAATCTTAAAAAGGAAAATGGGAAGGAAAAACAAAATGAAAGAAAAAGATGGACAGAATGTCAAAGCGATTACAGCCATATCATGATAAAGGAGTAAGAAGTTAACACAAATGATAATAAAAGAAAATTATTATACAGTAAATATTTTTATATTATTACTTAATTATAATATAAATATAATTTTCTATTAATTGTGATAAAAATTAATAATTACTACTGATATGATAATTTATTATTAAATAATAATATCAAATTTTATAGTGTCAGTGTGTTTAAATAAATTTTTTAATTTATATAAACAAATTCATTACAATGAGTAACTTATGTTAGAAAAAGATATTAATTAATTATCAACTAACCAAATTCACCCATTTAACATATGTGCATAATTTCTTTACTAAAATATTATTAATAGTACAACTTGAAAGTTGAAAAGGAGGGGGGGCTTAGGCTTTCTTAGGCACACAACATCTTTATCGTACATTCAAAGCACACTTGCAAGAATTAAAATTGTTGAAAAATCGAATCAATCTAATTATATATAAATTGTAAAAATTTTAAATTGAATCACATATAAAAAATTTACATGTAAAATAAAAAATGGGGAAGGGACATGGGCATATATAGCCCCAAGGTAGCTCAAGAGCAAGATGGGAAGAAAGGAAATATTTTAATTAATTATCCTACAATAATTACTTCCTTCTTACAATCACCCCCCTAATTTGGAATTTCGATCCTGCCAAATTTTAAATAGTTAACATCAATAAAAGAGAAAAAAATATATTAAAATATTTTTTATACCTGTTAATGTGAGAGAAAATTCAAATTCATCAATTTGTCTTGTCTTAATAATATATCGCATAACATACTTTTGGCAAGTACTAATACTAAATTATTCTATTAATCTTCTTACTAATTTATAGAAAATTTTAAAATTTTAATATATTTTATACGTTAAAAACATAAAATATTTAATATTTTCTCATTTAATCAACCGATATATTATTAAAAATATATTTCATTTATAAATATCTAGAATTATTCAATTTTCCCCTTTTTTTTCCTTTATCTTAATTATAATCTCTTCCTTTGTGTTAGAGTCAAGTGAAAATAACACAATCTTTTTGTGTTTAAATTAGACTTGACAATTAAAATTAAACTCGTGTACTTGTTTAATCTCAGCCCGACTTTGATGGAAATAAAAAAAATAAATGAATTTAAGGTTGAATTTTTCCTTATTTATAAAGGTGAGAACAGAGAATAAAGTTGTCATTCATAAATTTGAGTAGGGTATTATGATTCCTGTTGGCATATTTTTTTTTAAAAAAAAAACTTATCTTTAAATCTATACTAAGATGGATAATAATAACTCAAATGTGCATGCATGTATCTTGTGATTATCTACTACCTAAATCTTCAAATCTTAATTTGTTACCTGCACTTCAATTTAACAAAATTCAAATTCAAAATAATAAAGTAATAAATTACAAAACATAATATATGTTTAGTGTTTGTAATGAAGAAGTTACTTTTAGTTAAATTTAAATATAACATAACTTATGAATCTACTAATTTATAAACTCGTGAATATGAATTATAAATGTTATAAATATGATTTTAATTTCTTATTTTAAATTTAATATATATAGTAATATGTGAGTATGTAATGGTATAGACATCAAAGTACTTAAATTTGTACCTATTTTTATAAATTCTTACAGGCAAGTACTTATACCTAAATGTAGAACACTCCTCTTCATCTTAAATATTTTTTGCAAGTATCCATTAAGTTCAGCTAGTTAACCTTGTAAGTAAGCAAACATTCCTTAATTATAAAATCATGAAGATAATTTATATATATTAAAAGTAGAGTTAAATTTAATTTTCATACTCTCTTTTTTCATAATTACTAAAACTACAAATGATAATAAGTTAAAAAAACATATTTTTGTTAAAAACATGGTTTGGTTTTTAAGTTATTATTTTTAAGATTTTTAATATTATTCAAAGCAAAACATTCTTAAGACATAACTTATTGAAAGAACATAAATAGGTGATTTGAATTAAGAAAAAAAATGAGGTTGAAGCTGATTTTCCATGAGTTTTCTGATCTTGATGGAGACGAAATTTGATATGATTTTTTTTTCCTTTTTCATCTCTTCACATCCCATCCGCGTTCTCCGTTGTGGTGTCTAATTCAGACCATTCTTCATCGTAAATGCACAAACCAAAGTAACTTTTTTCCTATCAAAATTATTTTATTTTTCGCTCATGTGGGCACGCAACACCTCTCACAGAACACAACAATGGGAGTTTGTAACAAGTGAATTCTGTTCTTTATATTATAATATATTTAAAAAAAACACGTGATTAAGAGCTCTTAAGTATTCCATAGAATCGCCATCATATGATGGCACCTTGAGTGGAGCAGTAATAATTAACCATAACTTTCAGATTTAGGGAAAAACACTTTAAATTCTAATTCAAGTAGATATATAATTAATGCTTGTGGTCGTTTAATATGTTGTTCACCATTCGATGTATTTGACTTAGAGTATAGAAGAGGCATCAAATTATATTTCAGCTCTGGATCAGTGCACTGCCTGCATGTTGATTCTATTATCCATCAGGGCTAAGTGATTATGGTAATAGATAGCAACACACTACTGAACCTTCTGTGGACCATTGTGTAATTATTCTCTTACACGTTACAGAATATCTAATTATTAAGGTGGTTGATAATGAACAATTTTTGTTCGGTGTAGAATTGCATTATCTTTTTTTAGAGAATTAGACTCCATTCATTCAAACTAGTATAGGGTAGGTTCAAATAATTAAATCTGATTTGAGGACTTAAAGATTTAGCAAAACGTATATGAAAGATCAAATAAACGCTATCAACGGGTAGCAGCAATTCTCTAATGAAAAAACAGAGGATTTTTCTGATCATACAGCTCATACCATATTGACATTTCATTGCTAACAGTAAATAGCTGTTTTTCTACCCTCGAATTTAATGATAAATAGTAAATTTTTATTAAAAATTATAATATTTAATATTATTAATGCTTAAGATCTTGTAATGTTACGTAATTTCTAATAAAACTTAACTAAAGGTAGATTCTTATTGTGTATTCTCAGATACACGTTCGAATGAATAATACTAATACCTTTCACTCTGATAATGTACAGTGTGAAATGTCTCCATCCGTTATGCTTGAGTAGGTCAACACATTCATTTATTTCTTCCTGCTATTTAATGAGGATGGATGAATTGTTCAGCATCCAATACACAAGGCACTAACTTCATAAAGTTGGGTAGGAGGAGGGCATGGTGCAAAATTCAGGTCTTTCAACTACCTAACACATTGCAGCTGATTATAAGATGGGTTTATTTATTTTTGTAGTTTATTAGAAGAGAAAAAATATTGCCAATCAGATAATAATTCACGTGGCATGCATTGATTAATTATAGTGTACTTGATGTCATTCGATTCCTTAATCATGCAAAACTCTCGGTTAACCAAGATGAGGATTTGAGACCTTTCACACTAGCCCTGTCGGTGTTACTTAAATCGTGCTCAAATAATGAATGAAATTAGATACTACTTGCATATGACAATCACATAGATAAGTAAAAATGAACCCTCTTCATACTTTCACAAGAAAGCAAGTAAACACACTATATATCTACAAATTTCTCTTCTCATTCAAGGAATCATGGACCACGACATGTTTTCATTTATTACTGTGTTCCCCCGTAACCAAATTCCCTTGCCTCTCAACTGCTTCTGATCACCAATGATGATTTATAAAGGAACCACCCCTAAAACTAGTACGCCAGTCTTAGTCAATGATCCAGATTCTTCTAAAAATAATTCGTCAGCTACCCTTAATTACCTATTCAATTTTATAGTTTAATTATCAACCATATATATCAGGCATTAAATTTCGTCACAAATAAATTGATGCCCTTCAAAACAATCCCTATCATTAAGTTGAACGAACACCCCGGTCCCTCCTTGATTAAATCTAAAATTAAATTCCCATATGAAAAAAACCAATTCCATAGTAATTTAGAAGAACAAGCACCCTTTATTATATTTATATGTTTTAAATTCTAATAGTATCAAGTACGGGAAGCCATTAAACAATGATATGGTGTAGACATCAAACAAAAGAGAGTATATACTATATAGCTCCGTTTTCCGTTTAGGCATATTTTAGATCATAGACTTATCATTCCAAAATGCTCAATGATAGTGCTAATATCCATGTCTCCGTTGAGAAGTCCTTCAGAATACAGCAAGATGATGGATTCTTCTCAAGACTAATGGCAAAGGAGACTTCTATGGCCAACACTTCTTCAAGGGTCTACTATGGAGGGACTTCAATTGCTGTTCCTTTCATGTGGGAGGCACAACCAGGCACACCAAAGCACCCTTCTTCTGAGACCTCTCTTCCACCCCTCACACCCCCACCTTCTTATTATTCCAATTCTAAGTCCAATAACAAGAGAAGAAACTCCAAGGTTAATAATATATTTTCGTGTGTTTTGCCAAGGTTTTCAGGCTCAAGAAAGGGTCATCATGTGTCGCCAACATCATCTCGGTCGTCGTCGTCGTCATCAACCACATCATCATCATCATGGTCATTAGTATACCCAGCAGACTCATATTCCTTGAAAGACAAAGATCAAGGGAATCTCTCCTCTCTCACACACTCAACAACCCATCGTTCTTTTCTGAAACCTAAAGCTTCAAATGGATTTAGAGGATGCTATCCTTTTGGAAACATAAAGAATGCAATTGTAAGACATGGAGCTGTCTAATTTGTGTGTGAAGGTAACTTCGTTAGAAATTAATGTTTTGCATGGTTTACACCTTGAAGAAAATCATTCAAACTGTTTGTTGTATGGTTGGTGATTATGTGGGTTTAAATGTGTCGGAGTCTGACATAATAATTTCATATCTCACAATATTAATCATGATTATAACTATGTATATGCTTTAAATTAGACTCCCTTTTAGTATTATATATATACTTGAGTATAATCATATCTTCTAATTATTCAATTATACATCACGTCTACATATTCAAGTGAATAATGAATATTTTATACATGTCCCCAGGTTTCTAGCTAATTTATATGTTTCATATTTGTGCCTAATCGGAATCGTAACCCTATAAAGGTAATAATTAAAAATGAGTACACTTCGTCATTGAAAAAAAGAAGAGATGGGTTACACTTCTTTATTTTTAATATTAAAAAACTACAATAAAACACCACGTGTGACGCGAGATGAGTACAATTAGGCCGTAGCTAGATTAGTACAATGTAAATATGAGATAATTCTATTTAGGGTATATAAAGCGACAAAAATTAATTCGATTTAAGCTAACTAATACATTCCTTTAAAAATTATGTTCGCTAACTAATACATTCCTTTAAAAATTATGTTCATGCACATGCACATGCGTTAAGTTTGCTATACATTTGAACCTCTAGTATTATACAAGTTCTGTAAGCGCTGAGCTCGAATTAACCTATTTGCTTGAGTCATTCTTTACATGTTTAGAATAAAATAATCTGAAAAAACACAGTTACTAGTTAGATTCTGATGCATCAAATTTGAAGTGGTGTGCATAAAAAAAGAATAGATTTTATTAAATCCATAGCTTATATTATATAAGCGCTTCTATTATAAAGTTCAAAATTATTTCTTTAGTTATTAACTCTGTAATTTATTCTTTAAATGTACCATAAAGTGTGAATAGTTTCTGAAAGGATTGAGATTGAAGGCAGTTTGAGATACGGATAGAAGAAATATTTTGAATGGGTTCTGTAGTTTTCCAACTAGGCACTCACCATCTGGTTTCCTTCATCGTTGACACAAAGCACACGGCAAGCGCTTCCGGTAGTTGTTGGCATTTATTCTTGCATTAGTTTATACGTACTGATTATTATGAAATTTGGCATGCACTTCCACAAAATAGATTTTTGTTAAATTATCAAAAATATAATTTAAATGTTTCTTTATAAAGCAAAATTTATTAGATCGTGAGAGTATAATGGATACTTTCACCCTTTTTATACAGATATATTTTGCCTTTACAAGTGTCATCTCTGATCTCCGTGTATTGCACTAAAACTTCAAACAATTAATACGCAGGGTTCATCCACCGTTCAAGTCACACCTTTCTTTTTAATTTTTACTTCTGTCCACCTCAACATCCCGCTCTGTAGCTCATCTTCTCTGTCCACATTTGAAGAACTGAAAATAACATAATTTATTTGCTGTTATTCTTATATTTTCTCTAAATTCAGTTATGATAACGTGATATCCTATAAAGATTAATAGGTATTTACGTCTTTTTTAATAAATTATTAATTTTATTGTTTATTAATATAAAATTAATAATAAAAATTATTTTACATATTGAAATATTATAAAATATTTTGTTGATGAATAAGTTACCGTTAGATAATGGTAAGTCATTTTCTTTCACATAATATATATATATATATATATATATATATATATAATTTCTCTTATTATACTAAATTTATAAAGTAAAATTTATGATTACAAATTAAATATGTATCATAATTATTCTAAAAAACTTTAAAATAAATACACTCTTAATTTTAAATATTGTAACAAGAGATGTAAATAGGTTAGACTTTATATAAACAGGTAAAATTTTTTTAATAATTTTAAAACTCATATTTTTTATAAGTTTTTTTATTAAGCTTAATCTAATTTTTTTAAAAGTCTATTTTAGCCTATTAACTTTTTTAATAATCTACTTTATATTGAGACTTTTAAATAAAAAATTATTTTACTATTCTTAATTAGAAAAGACATTTTGTTAACATGAAAATAAAGAACAAAAAAAAAAAAACAAAAAATAGTTACACATAAAAATTATGGATGAGATAAATCAGTGTTAGACATAATTGTCTAATTGAGATTGTACAAATACAAATCAATATTATGCGTATACTATAGATTAAACAACATTAATGTAAAAAATTCTAGCAAACAACTCTCTTTCTCTTATAAAGTATGTGATAAGGACACTTTTCAATTTTAATGAAAACCTAATTTAAGATTTTATTTATTTAAAAATTTACTTTATTTAATATATTGTTATAAATTTTATGAGTTTTAAATAGACCACTCTATAAGTTTAATAAATTTTTTCTTAAGTTCAAGGCTGATCTATTTAATTAATCAAGTTAAAAAGTTTAAATTAGCCTATTGTTCATTTATTAACACTTTAACATTAAATTATTTTTTTATTAATATAGATAAATTTTAACAAAAAATAAATTATTAAATAAATATTTTGAGTTTGTGCTAATAATATTATATATTATACTAACAAATAATTTTATTAGCATATCATATTAATGTATACTATTAATATACACACGTCAGCATAGATTTTCAAATTTTTTATTAACAATTTACTTTTTGTTAAAAGAAAATATACTAAGGAATATTATTCTAATACTTGATAATTTTTTGTTTGTTAGTAAATCTCAACTTTTTTTTAGTGTAATAAATGATTTTTTTTCCAGCTCAAAAATGCGACTTCCACACTAAATTAATCAGGCATAAATAATTCACAAAATGCAATAAGAAAACTTACATTTGAAGAATAAATGCTAACTTGTCTCCTTTTCGTGCTTGTAAAGAAACGTTATTGGATCATTAGTGAAACATGGTCCCTTTATGTACAAATTGACATTTAATGAAACTATATCATGAATAACCTTCCGTGAAAGTGTTGCAAGTTCCAAATGAGTAAACTGCAACTAGAGCTCTGTGAAGAACTTCAACATTCTGTTTCTAAATCCACTTGCATGCAGATTTTAGTAATAAACTCCTACGAGATCAATTTGCACTCCTTTGCCACATGTCTTGTTGACCTTCTTTTAGCTTCACTTGTTGATAATGCTAAGCATAATATTTAATTTTTGTCTCATTCAACCAAGTTTCTATGCCATCATCCTGTCCCTCTAATTTATTTATTTTTGTTCAAAAATAAAATCAAACAAAGATCGTAGCAACGCTTCCCGTCAGGGCATCTCTTTGCCTTTAAAAGCTAAAGATAGAGGGATAACATCATGCTAGCTAGGCCTAATCTTATATTGTTCCACTAAGAAAATGAAGTCATAATGTTTTTTTTCCTTTGGTCATTTATCATGTATATAGGCTTAATTTAGATAAGCTTTTAAATAACTCAGAAAAAAATAATATATAAAAATTTTGTCATAAATTAAAAGAAAATTATATTCCTTAAGTTTTAAAGACATTAAATGATAAAATTTCTAAAAAAATCAAAAGCTTTTATTTAATTTTTTACTTTTTAAAATTTATCACAACTGTATTACAGTACTATTGTTCTCTGTCATAGTGCATGACTGTTTTCGGGCCGAATAGTACATGACTATTTATTAACTCAATAACAAAAGCTAAGAATTTGGGCTGAAAGAAGCCCAAATATTAGTAAAATTTGGATATAGGATTTAAAGTGATAGAAGCCATCATAAGATTGTTGAGCCCACCCAAATAAGTTTACTCCTCTCCTCATATGCACTATATTATACACCCCCCGTTTTTTTCTTTGGATAACCAAAATATCTAACATCTCAAGTTAATCCTTTTACAAAAATTAAAATCTCAAGTTGAAAACGAACATAATCCTCTTCCACCGGCCAGTGCCACTGCATATGCATCAGGAGAGTCAACAGTTACCTCACCTAAAGACCTTTTATTTCCTGGCTCATATAATTGCCCAATCATGTATATTATATTTATCCTTATATTTGGCTCATGGCACTATCCTCAACAACCAGCTTTAAATAGCTAGAAATTAGACCCAATAAGAACTTCAGATATCGTGATTTTAATTTATATTTAATAATTGATCATCGTGGACGAAAAGGGTCATTATAAAAACTACTAAAAAACTCGTACCCAAAAATAAAACTGAAACTGCAAAAGTTTCTCAACGAAACACATTTAAAAATAAGAACATAAATATAAAAAGAAAGCGACAAGTTGAGATGAAAAGACAAAAATAAAATAAAATAAAATTCAAATGGAATACAAAAATATGAAAAAATATATATAAATGGATAAAGTCACAAACGAACTTGTACATATCGAACTTATACATCAAACCAATTTAACCAATTCGTAAAGCCTTTTTCTTTTTTTTAAATCTTCAACATTTGCACTTGGAAGCAAGAATAATAACGACATTGGACATATTAGAAGCACACAACATTAAAAAAGACAGCAAAACAAATTTAAAAACTTAAGACATGGTTTATGGGATATACACGTATATCCATAAATTCATAAGTAGGAGTCTTAATTAATTAAATTAGTTCACCCTTCTGCAATTCTTTCTTATCTCTCCCTTTGAGCCAGTGAGGGGAGAGATGTCTCCCATCTTGATCATGGCGGTGGCAAAATCAGAGAAAAAGGAACTTGGGTTGGAGCTATAGCCACGCACTATGGAGTCAGTGGAGCCACCATTGAAGAGTTGTTGGTCAGAGTGAATGAGGCCCTTCTTCTCAATGAGGTTCTTGAAGTAGTGGTTGTCAAAGAATGTTGGAGTGGCGAGGTCAAGGGGTGCCAGGTTGTTGTCACCTGAACCTGAGGCTTTTGGGCACCTAGATTGTCTCATGCGAGCAAAGGTGCTATCTATGTTGCTCTCGTTGTAGATTCGGCCTCTGAAGTTTGTGCACCTTGCCTGTCCAATTGTGTGACCCCCTTTTGTGGAATAGTTTCACCCAATCAATGAAATGAAAATTATGACTTTGTTGTGTTAAGCTAAACAATTTATTTGACCTGGCTATTTTTAGTTTATTTCAAATTACTTGTTAATTTATAGTATTTTAATTTTATTAGAGATAATTTTGTCAATTAAATATTATAAAAAATTATGGTTAATTTTTTATTAATTATTTTTTTTAAGATGCGTAAAATGAGAAAGAAGAAGGATAAAGTAAAAGGGCCTCTAATTGATGTTATGTACCGGACAATGCGACCAAGTCTGTGGTGGAAAGTCCAAGAGCACTGAATTTTGAGATGAGTTGATTGAGGTTTGAAGAGGGTGCTGGGATGCCGTTGTTGGCAGCTGATTGGCTAGCTGTCCTGGAGTCTCTTCTTCCAAGCTTCACGTCCCATGTTGGCCCTCCAAGCTTATCAAATTGCACAAAATATATTCAAGTCACTACTTTGATCACACTTGTATATGTTTGTGATGTGTGTGGAGATTGGTTCATGAATATATATAACATATACATAGACAAGGTGCAAGATGAGAAAGTGTGAGAGGGACTTTAATCTTAATATAAACACACAACAAATTAGATCATCATTTTTTTTTGTCTTAAGACAACCCAAAAGCCACTAATCCAAGTTAAGGCATGTAGATTTAATTATTTAAGGAAATTAAACTCTTTTATTTTCATTCAGAACACTCGAACATGAGACTAACAAAGAAATGGCTTATTGACACTTAAATTAATAATAAAGAAAAGAGTTGAAGCAAACAATTTCGACATATATTGATATATGATTAACTGTGTGATGAATTTTCCGTGAATGAATTGCTTACGATGGCGACGGAGTCTCTGGCAGTGATGGCAAGGATGTCAGCACAGGAAACGACACCTGGGCACACTTTCTCCACCGCCAACTTAATTTTGTCAATCACTTCAAATCCACGAGCAGAGTTCTTGTTGGGACCTGCATTCTTTTCTCCAGTGAAGCTTGATGTGTCATCAAGTAGAACTGAACCATCACACCCCTGCAATGTTTATTTATTCTATCAAGCAAATATAGTCGTCTCTTTATATAAAGTTTTTTTAATGTGGGTCTAAAAATGCAGTATAAAAAATTAATGAATAATATTTTTTATTTTTTTTAATATTTAATACTATTAATATACTAAATTTAATAATAGATATAATGCAATTTTTGCTAAAAAATTATTGTACATAAATTCAAGTTATTAGAATTGCTGGTGATCAAGATGGAAACATAAATAGGTAGCTAAAAATAATATGAAGCTAAAAATTCATGTTATTTTTTCTAATTCGATATTTGAAAAAAAAAAAAAAACTACAGTCGTCCACAAATACCTTTTAGGTAATGTATTTGTATACTACATTTTTCATATTATTTAGATCACTGAATTAATAATGAAATTTTTTTTATTAACAAAATGTAAAAATTAATTAATGTATTTATAACTTGTTAATTACCCGCTTATGAGTAACGTAAATTTTGCCTGTCAAACAGTTTAGATATATACCTCATTATAATGTTAGAAACATGATATTGATTAATACTAAAAATATTCTGTAAAATTGTGGATGTGTGAATATCATATATAGATTCCATTAATCTCGGAATTTTTAGAGGAAATGAGACAGTGAAAATCAAATTTTACCATGGTGCAAATCATACTTCATAAATAATGTGTCTCGTCGTATATGTATTCTAAAAAGTATATTAAAAGAATATGTTACTAATACTTTTCAAATACTATATATATACACAATATATAGTAATTCTGTTTGTATGTCATGAATTAGTTAATTAGTAGATACATACATATGGAGGGAGTGTGTGAGAGAGAGAAAGAGAGAGAGAGATTACATTAACAAAGCAATCGTGGAAGAACAAACGAAGGAGAGAAGCACCCATTCGTGCCTCCTTTGATATGGCGGATTCCACTGTGCATTTCACAGTCTCAAAGAGTTTTGGGCAAGAGATGGAATAGAAGTTTGTGGAAAGTGTTGCATTGGCACTCCCCAACATGAGGACCAAAAGGGTAAAACTAATCATAAAGCTAGAACAAAACGAAGCCATAGCCAAAACCCTGTAAGTAATTATCTCTATGAGTGTATTTTGTGCTTTGTGCTTGAGATAGTTTAGTGTAAGTCACATATTTATAAGGCCACTGTCCCTAGTCCTTAATTGGCAACATTTAATTTGTCAACGTAAGATTAAATCTCAAGGTGCTTTGTCTCTCTGCTGTAACCTAACCTAACACGCAGTCATTGCTAAGTCATCAAAATGCATGCAATGTTTACTTCATTTTTTGTGATTTGATCAATCAATTCATAAATAACGAAGTGAACTGCTTCATTTTTCTTTGAACCAATGACTTACGCTGCCGGCTTGCCATGATTTGTCAAAATGTTGGCAAATAGTTAGTAAACTTTTTTTTCTTCTCTGGGTCCCATATATTACGCCATAATATAGATTTTGTCTAATAATAATTTAAATTATTAGTAAAATATTTTAAAGACTTACTAACAAATAGCAAATGCTACAGTGATACGTATTACGAATATAGTTATTTATTATGATAATATTCATATATTAGTACAAATTGAAAGTATATAGCCTAATAATTCTAATTTTATTAGAGAAAATTTATTCTAACAAAAGCTAACCCAATATTAAAGAGTTAGTAAATGATAACTTTGTTTATAGTAGTGGCACCCTATCATTCATATATATATATATATATATATATATATATATATATATTTATTTATTTATTTATAAGCACAAAAAAATCTATTGATATTGAGTACAAGGGTTACTCATCCCAAAATAGACTCATTATAAAGTATCTATGTAATAATTTTTAGGAAAAAAACAATTTGAAACTTTCCAATGATTCTAAATACCATGTATTATTAGAGAAATAACTTGTTGAAGAGAGTGTTGTAATTGTGAGTCATGCTTTGTGTTTAATGTTCTCTACTACTAAATTTGGATCCACACTAGCTTGTGAAAAAATGATTGCATTCCTATACTTCCAAATACCTCACAAGGCCATCATGTATACCACAAAAATAGCTTTTCACATTTTATTAACGTAGCTACATATAGAAAATCTAGCATTTGCATGTTCAAAGAATAAGTTTCTAGAGGTAGTAAGTAAAATAAAAAGTATAATTATTGTCACACATGAACCGCAAATGGACATAAGAAAAAGAGGTGGCACCCTATCATATAATTTGGTGTTAATTTTAAAAAAAATAATTTTGTTAACTTTAATCTTTAAAGTTAAGTGTAAACATAAAAAAGTAATTTTTTTATTAAAAATATATAACTTAATAATCTTTTTTTTTAATGTGATAAATAATTTTTTAATAAATGTTTAATACTTTAAATTATTTATCCTCGACCTTAAAATCTAAAGTTAATCCTTTTTAAAAAAATTATATCTTTTAAAAAGTTTGTTTACACCGGCATATCCTGTTTAAAAAGTTTTAATTACTATCATGCATGATACTCAACCAATAATAATTATGATTATAGTACTTAAGATTTTTCTGCAAAGATACATTAAACACAAACTATAAATTCTAAGTAACAATAAACCCAAACCATTGAAGCAAGAATTATAAGTAATAAAGGGATACGAAGAGAAATCAATAAGAGATTTGTAAATATCAATAACGAGTCGAATATATGGAGTATCGTGCATAGAGATGAATTTACAAAAATAAATTACGCAGCAAATTAAAAGTTCCATCACTGTCTTAAAATAAAATATATCAAAACACTTGAATATGATAGAGATGGAGAAGGAGAAGGAAGTGGGTGATATGGTCAAAGTTAACGAGGGTTGAGTTGTCATCAAGGAGAACGGTAAGAAACGGTGGATTTTTTTGTTTCTTTCTTCCTCCTGCCTTCAGATTCTCGGAGTTGTTGAAGTACAGCAAACTGTGGTTTTCTCTGCCACTATTTTTTGTTTGTTTGTTTGAACAAGTCTACTAGATAAGCGTAATTCAAGTGCAATTCGTACCTGATCTAGTTAGTCAAAAAAGTTAAATATTTTTACTATCATCAGAAAAAGCTAGCCCCATAAAGTAGAAAACAGCTACAATAAATGTATTAGTAAATAAGTTAACTCATGATTAGCTGGCAAATACCAAGTTTTGCAAGTTTTGAAAATGAATCAAGAGAGAAAACGGAGACAGTCCTCAGTCCTAAAAGAAAATAATTAAGTTTATAATTTATTGATTATGTTACTGCTCATGTTTTTAAGAGACAGACGTTACGAATAACATATAAATCTAATGAAAGTTACATTTAATATTTTTAATTAACGAATAGTGGACTTCCATTCTCTCTCGTACGGTAGTGTCTGTTGTTCCAAATTAAAGAAAAGTGGCATGCTGGCCATGAGAAATGTGTCCTTTGGGAAAGTAGGAAGAGGGTTTAGAGGCTTTGAATTTTTTGTTATGACCAAATATGATAGGCTTTTCATCGTCTTTTGATCATTAGAAAGTGAAAGCCGTGCTAGAAAATCTACTCATTTTAGAATATTTGAAGTTTGACCGAGTGTAACGAATCTCTCATACCCTCACCCTGTTTTTTTTATTAGGTTAATGAAGCCCTTAATCATAACCTCATTGCTAAAGCTTAACTAATACCATTTACTAAGGAGATCCAGTTGTCGAGTGGTTTGACATAACTACACTTGCTGTTTTTCACTACTATATGTCCTGCACAATCTTTGTGTCCACGAGGCTAGAAAGGCTAGAAACTCGGTTAAAATATAAGTTGTATTAGTACATTGTTTACTTTAAATGTAAAATGGATTTATTTAACCCTTGAATGGTAATTACTGCGAGATCAATGTTAAATTAAATTTTAATTACATTTATGAGCAAGTGGGTAAAACTTCTACTGTCATAGGATGGTTTTGGTAAAGTGAGACATTCGTAATTTTGATTAAGCTTAAATAAATTTCCAGTTCCTCAAAATTCACGTTGTTCTTGCTTAACCCTTTATTTTATTTTCTTTAAAACAAATCTCTTAAAAAATCCATATTTATAAAGTAATCTATTAATGATTCATTAATTTTTTTTTATTTGTTTATGTACATTTACTTTGACAATATTTGACACATATAATGTAATACAATTAAGGTAAAGGATACTTTTATTATATCTTTAAATTTTTATTTTAAAAATTTAACTCTAAAACTTAAAATTTCACTAAGAAATATGAAATATATATGACATTATTAATAACATATTTAATTAATGTTATATCTCAATTAAATTATAGAGTCAACTTAAATATTATATAATCAAGTAAATAACAAAATAGTTTAATAAATTACTAAGAGAAATCAAATAAAAAATATTTGAGGGCTAAATTAGAAAAAAAATTAAAAATTAATTTCTTTAACAATATCTTCCCATACCATAAACAAATGAATTCCGATCCGAGAAAGATTCTACATGGATCAATTTACAATCTAATGGAGAATATAGCACTCTAATGCAGACAAGGCCTTTTCAATTCAATATGAGAGGATTGCGATTTATTTTCTTTCAATATTAATCTAATTTGATTAGTTTTACCTAATTGTCTGCTCAAGATGCAAAGGATCTCATCTTTTTGGTTGGGTTCACATTGCTATTGTTTGAATCGTCAAAGTTGGAGCTATGATCCCGCTGTGTACGCTTGTGAAGAGAAAAGAAAGTCATAAAGAGATATGTAATTCTTACCCTTTCTAGATGAATAGCTACATAATTGAAAATTCATTTTTCTTACACCGTTTTCTTGTTTTGCTTTATCTTTTTCTGCGTTGACGATGAATTAGGATAATCTCACTGATTCAAGTAGTATAGATGCTTCCCAACTTAAAGTCACCTCACTGATTTATATTTCGTTAATACAAAATGATTAATTTCACTTACAGCTAGAGATTTATCCGATATATCAATCATTACTGATGGAAAATTATTCAAATGATTATAGAAGCTAAGATTTGAATTTGTTTTCAATCCTAAAAAGCATGAATTGAATATTTCCGAAATTATTATTATTATTATTTTCGTTTTGTATCTGTTCATGTAAGGTCACACAGAACACATTTAAAAAATATTATTAGTATTCTTTCTGTATTAATATATGTATCTTTTTAATATATCATACCTCTATACTAAAATTATTGACTTTGTTTCTGCTTTATTCCTTATTATCAAAAGATATTTTCAATTAATAAAAATTGTATTTATATTTCGTAAAAACACAAGTTTAAATTTATATTTTCTTTATTCATCTTTAACTATCGTTGTGATCTTCAACTTCCTATTCAACTCTCAATTGCTCTAATATATCTGAGTGAATTTAATGGCTATAATCTTCATTGCAATGCACTTTGTTCATAGCATTTTCTAATTCAATAGATCTCTTAATACATTTTTTTATGTTATTCTCATTCTCATTTAATTAAGGTGTTAACTTAATTCAAACTCATCCATCTACTTTCTTTGTCCCCCACTTGATGCATAGTAGTGTCAAAGATACTTAATACGTGAATTTTCAAATGAACTAAAAGATGAAAATGAAAGATGGAATAATTGGAAGATCAGTTTGAGAATTGAATGATGGGTTATGCTAATAGTTAATTTGAAAATTAGGAAGTGAAATAGATGAAGGATCTAATCTAATTAAAAGTATACCCATTAGGCAACTAAAGATAAATATACTCATAAATATTTTTTCCTCTCCCCTTTACATCATTTATCTTAACTTCTTCCGGAACGTCAATTTTAAGTTTTAGAAGTTTTATTTAACCCAAAAAAAGTTTTAGAAGTTTTAGCACGTCTCATCGCTAAGTTACCGGTTTGGTAGTGGGATAATCCTGAACTTCCACTTAAAAAATATTAATTATATCTAAGATAGATAATGGCTTGTGCAGCAACACATGATAATATTAATTATATCTAAACTTAACCCTTTTTTTGAGTTTGGGCTCATAATAGGCTTGTAACTAAAAATATTGTGATGGCCTTAAATTAACGTCAAGGTTATGCATCGAAGCCCATAAGAAATCCTAAGCGCCAGATCGTAATTTGCACATTGGTATGCGG